TTTTCTTTTTATACTTGTTTGTACTGATTGATTTCCAAAAATCTTGTGTATATTATTAATACTATTTCTGTTAAAATACTGATTATTTTTCCCTTAAAAAATACAAACAAAAAAAATACACTCATGTTTGTAGCAGCATTATTTATCATAGCCAAAAGGTGGAAACAGCCTAAGTGTTCATTGACAGATAATTGGAGAAACAAACAAAAAAGAAGCTAATGGAGGAGAGGGTGGAAGGAAAGTGGGCGGGGCAGAGAAGAGGAAGATGCATAGGACTTAAGTCACATTAGTCAGACCTTGGCAATCTGATTGCAGGTTCCATATTGAAATTTAATGCAGTTTTCAAAATTACTGATATATTTTCTTCATTTGTCTCTTGTCCTTTTACCTTATTCATGGTTGCCAAATGGTATTTAAAAATTTTTGTTAGTCAAATCTTTGTGGTTTCAGTGTTTTGTATTATACATAGACGGTCCTAACTACTAGATTGTAAAAATAGTATTATCCTTTCTTTTTTAATTAAAAATTTTAAGTCTATACTTTTAAACCATGTGGAGTTTATTTTTACATGTGTCACGAGGCAGGTATCATGTCTTTTTTCTTCTTCTTCTTTAATTGGTTAGCCATTAATTGAAAAGTCTCCTTTTCCTGCTGTTTGGAAATGCCACCTGCTAAACTCCTGGATATGCATGGGTAGGTTCCTTGATAGTCACTTTCTTTCTGTTTGTTGTTCTTTCTATAAATTTCAGCTTCAATATCATGCTGCTTTAATTTTCTTTAACTTTAGAATGCGTTTTTATATCTATTAAAACAAGTCCTCTCTCTTTTTTTCAAAATATTTATGAGCATACGCTTCAGAGAAACTTGAGAATCATTTTATCAAGTTATCTTAATACATCTGGTAAATTATTCCATTTCAGCACACACAAGTAAGTTCTACCTTGTTGTTTTCCTCAATGCATAGTTTTAATATATTTAGCCGCCCCACTGCTGATAGACACTTAGATTGTTGCAAACTTTGTACAAGTTGTGTTGCTCTCCCATCTTTTCCATGTATGAAAAACTCCTAAATATTAAATGTGTGAGTTGATTTGGAAAGAAGTTATATCTTTATAATAATGAATCTTACAAGAAGATGTATTCGTATTTTTTATGTCCTTCAGTAGAATTCAGTAGTTTTAATTCCTATAAGGCCTTATATAGATTTATTTCTGAGTAATTCTTAAATTAACACATTGTACGTTAGACCTTGGCAAGCTGATTGCAGGTTCCATATTGTACCTATTCATAGGGGACAGTGTGATGTTTTGATACACACATATATATATGTATATATATACACATTCTGTAATGATCAAACCAAGGTAATTAGCACATCAATCACTCAATAATTTATTATTTCTTTGTAGTGAGAACATTCAAAATCTTCTCTTACAGCTATTTTGAAATACAGTCATGCATCACATAATGACCGGAATATATTCTGAGAAATGCATTATTAGGCAATTTTGTTGTTGTGTGAACGTCATAGAGTATGCTTAGACAAACCTAGATGGTATAGCCTACTACACCCCTGGGCTATATGGTATAGCCTATTGCTCCTAGGCCACAAAGCTGTTCAGCATATTACTGTACTGAGTGCTGCAGGCAATTGGAACACAATGGTAAGTATTTGTATAGCTAAACATAGAAAAAGTACAGTAAAAATACAGTGTGAAATATAAGAAATGGTACAGGTATGTAGAGCAGTTATCATACATGGAACTTGCAGGACTGCAAGTTGCTCTGGGTGAGTCAGTGAGTGAGTGATGAGTGAAGGTGAAGGCCTAGGGCATTACTGTACACAACTGTAGATTTTATAAAACACTGTACACAGGCTACCCTTAATTTATAGGCAAGTTTTTGGCTGGGTACAGTGGCTTACATCTGTAATGCCAGCACTTGAGGAGGCCGAGGCGGCGGGATCACTTGAGGTCAGTAGTTGGAGTCAAGCATGGGTGACATAGTGAGACCCCCATCTCTACAAAAAATATATATATTAGTTGGGTGTGGTGATACACACTAGTCCCTGGGTATCAGGAAACTGAGGATTGCTTGAGCCCAGAAGTTTGAGTTTGCAGTGAGCTGTGATCACACCATTGCACTCCAGTCTGGACAACAGAGCAAGACTCTGCCTCTAAATAAATGAATAAATTAATTAAAATAATATGTTTTTCTTTCTTCAATAATAAATTAACCTTAGCTTACTGTAACTTTTTTTTTTTTTTTGAGGCAGTCTCACTCTGTCACCCAGGCTGGAGTACGGTGGCTTGATCTCAGCTCACTGCAACCTCTGCCTCCTGGGTTCAAGCTATTCTCCTGCCTCAGCCTTCCAAGTAGCTGGGATCAGGTGTTCACACCATGCCTGGCTAATTTTTTTTTTTTTTAATATTTTTAGTACAGATGGGGTTTCTCTGTGTTGGCTAGGCTGGTCTCAAACTCCTGGCTTCAAGTGATCTGCCTGCCTTGGCCTCCTAAAGTGTTGAGATTACAGATGTGAGCCACTGCAACTGGTCAACTTTTTTAACTTTATAAACTTTTCCATTTTTTTTTAACTTTTTGACTTTTTGTAATAACACTCAGCTGGAAACACAAACACATTGTATAGCTGTACGAAAATATTTTCTTTCTTTGTATCCTTATTATATAAGCTTTCTATAAGCTTTTTCCTATTTTTAAATCTTTTTTACTTTTTACACATTTTTGTTAAAAATGAAGACACAAATACATACATTAGCCTAAGCCTACCCAGTGTCAACATCACTGTTTTCCACTCCACATCTTGTCCCACTGAAAGGTCTTCAGGGGTAATAACACACATGGAGTCGTCATTTCCTATGACATCAGTGCTTTCTTTCTAGAATACTTCCGGAAGGGCCTGCCTGAGGTTGTTTTACAGTTAGCTTTTTTTTTTTTTTAATAAGTAGAAGGGGTATACTCTAAAATAACCATAAAAAGTATAGTAAATATATAAACCAGTAATATTGTCATTTATTATTATTATGTATTATACGTAAATGTATGTGTTGTTATACATACATTTTTATACTAATATCACCACAAACATGAATAACGCCTTGTGCTATGACATTATAACTGCTGGGTTATCACTAGGCAATAGAAGTCTTTCAGCCCTATTACAATCTTATGGGACCACCATTGTATATGGAGTTAATCATTGATTGAAATGGTATGCATTGCATGACTGTATGCATTATTGTTAATTATAGTTAACCTACTGTGCTATTGTGAATTTGCTACTGTGAACGTGGGTGTACCAATATTTCGAGACTCCGCTTTCATTTCTTCTGAATATATGCCCAGAAGTGGAATGGCTGGATCCCCTGTTGAGTGATATCAATTACCATATGATAATTCTGTTTTAATTTTTTAAGGAACTGCCAAACTGTTTTCCATAGCAGCTGTACCATTTTGTCTCCCTGCCAACTGTGTACAAGGTTCCAATTTCTCCACAACGTCACTAATACTTACTATTTTCTGTGATTTTGATAGTAGCCATCCTAATGGGTATGAGATGGTATCTCATTGTGCCAATCTCTTCATTTTACAGAATAAGAAACTGGGGGGATACATGATTTGTTTACATGCAGAGGCTGACCAGTTTGCTAAATGACTGTTCAGTTATTGTCTAATTCCTGAGTCAGTTTATTGAACGATAGATTTCATTGAATTGATTCATCAAACTTTGCCAGGTTTTCCTCACTGATATTCACCAGAGTGCTTCACTAAAATCTTGTCTTACAAGATTTTACTGCTTCACTAAAATCTTTACTTACAAATGCATATAGGAAATTGTATTGTTGGATGGGCACAGTGGCTCATGCCTATAATCCCAGCACTTTGGCAGGCCAAGGCAGGCAGATCCCTTGAGTCCAGGAATTCAAGGCCAGCCTGGGCAACATCTCTACAAAATGCCATCTCTACCAAAAAGACAAAAAGTAGCCAGATGTGGTAGTGTGCACCTGTAGTCCCAGCTACCAGGGAGGCTGAGGTGAGAGGATTGCTTGAGCCCAGGGGAGGTTGAGGCTGCAGTTAGCTGTTGAGTGTGCCACTGCACCCTAGTCTGGGTGATGGAACAAGGCCCTCTCTCAAACAAAACTAAAACAAAACAAAAGCAACTTTTTTATGTTTGAAAATTATCATAATAAATGTTGGGGAAGACCCTGAATTTTAGACCTAGCTCAATTTTTTTTTGAGACGGAGTTTCGCTCTTGTTACCCAGGCTGGAGTGCAATGGCGCGATCTCGGCTCACTGCAACCTCTGCCTCCTGGGTTCAGGCAATTCTCCTGCCTTAGCCTCCTGAGTAGCTGGGATTACAGGCATGCACCACCATGCCCAGCTAATTTTTTGTATTTTTAGTAGAGACGAGGTTTCACCATGTTGACCAGGATGGTCTCGATCTCTTGACCTCGTGATCCACCTGCCTCGGCCTCCCAAAGTGCTGGGATTACAGGCGTGAGCCACCGCGCCCGGCCCCTAGCTCTATTATTTAATAGCAGTGTGTTCTCAGAAAAAGCTCTTAATCCCTCTGTAATAGAAATCAAATAACCTGCCTTATCTGCTTTAAAGCAGATATTGTAAGGATGAATATACTTTATATGAATGGAATTTGAAAACCATACCATTAAGATAGTGCTATCATTTCCCTTGGTGATTTCAGTGGCTATTCTTAGTAAAGTATTATGTTTTGGATTTTTTTTTTTTTTTTTAGTGGCACAATCAGAGAAGGAAGAGTTCAGACTAGTGAAGATGGGAAGAGAATGTTCTACTTGGCTCACTTAATGAGAAAAAATAACCTCCGACACAACTATTAGCTCTTCTACAATAGACAGGCAGAGTCTTAGTTTACTTTAAAGCCGTTATCTGTATCTTTATAAAGAAGGAGACAGAAAGAAAAGGTTAAACATAAGCATGTAAATCAAACTTTGTTCTTTTTCAGGAGGCAGTAGGGGATACATTAGAAGAACTGTGGATCTCGTACAATTTTATTGAGAAGTTGAAAGGGATCCACGTAATGAAGAAATTGAAGATTCTCTACATGTCTAATAACCTGGTAAAAGACTGGG